AAATTGAGGAGTAGTGCCAGTTTATTTTGGGAAATCAGAAACATTAAATTAAAATACAGTGGGAAACATTTCTCTGAATATACAGTATGATATTGATTGATTCTTACAGACTCCTGAATGCATTTTACCACAGTGTGCACTGTAACTTTATTGATTTAAGATTTTCTTCATATATTTTTTCATCCTTTCTTGTTACTTCATGCAGATTATAAATTGTACCTACACAGACTTTACAGTAAAATGTATTGATATCTTATTCTTTTCTTCATGAATTTACATCATCATGTTAAAGCTTACATATGCAGTGTGTGATAAATCCAGATTATTTTATAATACTTTCATTTTCATCTATAAATTAGGCTCCATAGAGTTAGTTATGTAACAATAAAGCTATACATTTTCTTGGGGGTTCCTTGACCTCAGTTGATGTGACCTGTTGGGCCCCAGAGTTCACTAGAAAACCAGATTTGCGCTTGGATCTACGTCTCCAGTGTAATCACCTTTGTGTCTCCTCTCTACTGCTGTTCCCAGGTTTCTACGTGACCCTGGTGGTGAACCGCTGGTGGAGCCAGTACACCAGCATCCCACTCCCTGACAGGCTCATGTGCGTCCTGTCGGGGGGCCTCCAGGGGAGCGACGAGCGAGGCCGCCTGCTGAGGCGCACCATGATGCGCTACGCCAGCCTGTCAGCCCTGCTCATCCTGCGCTCCGTCAGTACGGCCGTCTTCAAGCGATTCCCCACCATGGACCATGTGGTGGAGGCCGGTGAGTCGGTACCTCCAACACCAACTGTGATTTAGCAGTGAGTTAAGTACGTTTAATTATCCACAGCAGTTTTAAACGAATACAACTTGAAATGATTATGATCTGTAAATATATAGCAGCTTTTCTAGTCTTGATGATGACTCAAAGCTCTTTACAGAACAGTTTTGCCATTCATCCATTCACACACATTCATGCAGTGCGTATACAGTATGTGGAGCACTTTCTCTATTACACACCATTCTCACACTGTTGGCACTCTCTGGGCCAAGGACCCTTCTGCACAGACTGGGATTGAACCACCAACCTTCTGGGTAGTTGATGACCCGCTCTGTCTCATGCCTATATGACCTTTCTCACGCTGTATGACGTGGCAGGAGGTTTTATAATGGAACGATGCGATCACTCATACGCGCACGTCATGACTGTTTTGTGTTGTTTGTTCCTCTGTGCCTTCTCTACACCAGAGAGTGCAGGAGCAATCACAAGGACAGGCACAGTCTGAAATTCACAGATGATAAGGGGAAGTTATCAAACGCCTGTAACAAGATCACACGGTGTCCTCTCCTTTGTGTTTTATACATGGTGCATCTTTAGGTGGAGTAAAAACTGTAAACTGTCAATCACTGATGTCAGCAGTGGTATTTTCACAAGCTGTTTTCTAACTGATAGAGCGATGGTGTCATCTCCTGACACATTGCAGGAGTTCTCACTCCCTATAAGTTGATTGGAAATCTGGCTCAGAGAAAAGTTCAAGCAATCACATGTTGAATCCTCATGTGTCGTTCCTCTCTTTCTGTGAGCCACATTTTCTATCATGCATATAACTGATGAATGAAGTGTTGTTTTTTTCTCTGCTGTTTATTCAGGATTTATGACGAGAGAGGAGAGGAAGAAATTCGAGGGTCTCCACTCCCCCTACAACAAATACTGGATCCCCTGCGTCTGGTTCACCAACCTGGCTGCTGTGGCCCGCTGTGAGGGCAGGGTCAAAGACGACCACACACTCAAACTGCTGCTGGAGGTGCACCACTACACACACACACACACACACACACACACACTCACACACTCACACACACACAGACATGCACGAGCCCACTGATGAGAAGGGACTTCTTGTGTTGTGATATGAGATGAGAAATTAGACAGAGAGTTAAGGCCTCACAAAGTTTCTCTTGTCTTCTCTTTTGTGTCAACAGGAGCTGAATGGGTTCAGAGGGAAATGCAGTATGTTGTTTCATTATGACATGATCAGTGTTCCCCTGGTCTACACTCAGGTACGTGTTATGTTTGTAGTTGTCACGCACACAGAAAACAGCACATATTTGAATAAATGAACAGGACTTTCGGATGTTTCTTGCTGTCTGCTCCTCCTCTAATGTTTTAATTACAGAGCCTTGAGAGGTGTGAGGTTACTGGTGGCTACGTTGCTTCACAATGAAAGTGAAATCGTTAAAAATGAGCCTTACACTCCTCATTAACTTCTTGCATTATACAGTAGGTTCATATTGCTTGTTAGTGGATTGACATATGACGGAAGATTATTGGTCTGTTTTTCAAACAAACAAACTCCGACCGCAGCTTGTTGTCTGTGAGAAATATGAAATAAAAGGAAAAAGTTATTGAATAATTATTGGAATCTGAAGGAAAATCTAACACATGTCCATAAATCTGTCCCTCAGGTGGTTACTTTGGCCGTTTACAGTTTTTTCCTGGTGTGTCTGATTGGTCGTCAGTTCTTGGACCCGAGTCAAGCTTACCCAGGTCACGACCTCGACCTCTACGTACCCATCTTCACCCTGCTTCAGTTCTTCTTCTACGCAGGGTGGCTTAAGGTCAGATAAAAGGGTCGCATGCCATTTATTCACATTTGGTACTTGACCACAATGTTTACTTTTGACAACCACTGACCATTTCTAACCAGATTTCTATTGTTTTTCTGTGCTGAAGGTGGCAGAGCAGCTGATCAACCCCTTCGGAGAAGACGATGATGACTTTGAGACTAATTGGCTGATAGACAGAAATTTCCAGGTTTCTTAATAATGTGTTTATTTTTCTGAATTTGTTGCCATGCCACAGGAAATGAGATTAAAGCCCATTAATTAGTAAGCACTGCTTGACCAGTGTTTTCTGTTTCAACTCTACAGGTGTCCATGATGGCAGTGGATGAGATGTATGGAGATCTGCCAATGATGGAGAGAGACCGCTACTGGAACGACTCCAACCCCCGGCCACCGTACACCGCTGCCACACTCTTTGTCCTCCGCAAACCCTCCTTCCAAGGGTCCACTTTTGACATGGCGTGAGTTTTGGGGTTTTACCCTCCCGCTCTCGATGTGTGACCTGTGAATGTGATACTTTCAGTTTCAGTGGCCCAGAAGCGTGGGAACGTCTCAGAAAATGAAAATGAAAGAACTCGCAGAAGTGATGGGAAAAACACAAGTCATTGTATTTTCAGGGAAAGTACTGATGATGCATTATCATCTCTTCACAGGATACCTAAGGAGGAGATGCATTTCCAGCCTCTGGAGGAAATTGCTGAGAACTTGGAGGAGTCAGGCAATCGTCACCCCAACATGGCCCTTTTTAACCGCCTCCTGAACGCAGCTCCATCCCCCACTGGCCTCATGGGAGGGGCTCTTCGCCGCACCTCGGCCCAGCTCCAAAGGCTACGCCACTCCCCCAGCATTGACCAGTGCACCAGCGACGATGATGACGATGAAAGTTGCAAGATAGGCAAAGGGGGGTCTCTGCCATCAGGGCTGGGGCAGGAAACCCAGAGCACTGTGTGCAGTTTCAGGGACGATAAGAGCCAGAGAACACCTCTGCTGGAGATCGAGTTTGGGGAGGAGCAGGAGAGGCGAGAAGGGCACCCTGCCCTCAGTGAGAGAAGGGAGGTGAGTGGAGTGGAGGGGAAGAATGATGGAGAGTGGCAGATGAGGGAGGAAGGAAGGGAAGAAGAAAGTATAAGGTGGGAGGCCCAAGCTCCAGTGTCACTGCTTCCTCCTCCCCCACAGTCGACCATGGAGACATCCACTCGACCGGCCTCCACCATTCCCATCACCTGCCGTCACACCTCTGCCTTCCTGTTTCATCCGACTGCTCACTCCAGTCTGGAGCACTGCAGCTCCCAGCCAGCCATCAACCACAACAGAGCTGTGCCCACAATTCCTAAACCCCCGTTTGCTGGGAAAAAAATGTCCTTCCTCACTGTGCCGTCTTCCGATGAGCCTCAGCGTTTTCGCAGCGTGAGCATGGGGTCAGATCTCACTGGATCTTAGGTTGACTGTTGAAACTATGGTTTTAATTTCACTGCACAAGGGAGATCAGTCACAACTATAAATGTGTGCTTCCACTTTTACTTTGAGTCTACTGCACCTTTGGGGACATAAGAGGAGCACTTTTTGGAAATTAGTGACACTTCCTGACATTGCCACAGAACCAAATAGCCCCTCATAGTTCTAAAACATCCCCCAACTTACTGATGGTGTTTGAAAATCAACTGTTTGAACTGTACTCAACTTCACGACACGTCATTTGGGACCTGGGAGGAACGTTTGGTATTTGAAGGAAGGGAAGGAAGGGAAGGAGGGGGAGGAGGGGAAACTAGACACAATAAAGGAATTTTTTTTTATTTAGATGTTGCCTCATGGTAGCTAGAAAACTAGTCACCAGGGTTTAGTTCTCATTACGAAAGTCTATGAAGCTGAAGGTGTCAAGATGCAGCTATCTTAGTAAATATGCTAGGTGCTCTTGATGTGAAATGATGTGTGTTTTTCACATCTCCATTTATTTAACAAAGAAAATTCAGCATAAAATGACTGCATAAGATTACATGTAGGGCACATTTTGACAATACTTAGCTATTTCTCCCTACTTTCAGCCTGTGTGCTATGTTACATTATGTTCAGCCGGGCGAATCAACTGTCAGTTCTCCCAGAGAGGACAGTGTTTATGAAGAAAATTCATTTCTGGTTCTTAAGTTATGTGTCTAAATGAACTGCTTATGTCCATGCTACTTTTTCTTTCAGCATTAATTCAAGTTTCGACAGATAATTGAGTTAAAACTTTATTTTATTCACTTTATTCACCCTGATTATTAAAAAACTGATTTTCAATGCACTTT